CAGGTTACTTTAGGTACCACGTATGGTGTGAACAAAGGCAGAAAAAAATGATTTTTTTTTTTTTTAAATGTGGTAGCTAGTGCCATTTAAAATGCCTCTGAGACCTGCTTCAAGTGGATCCTGATGTTTTTACACCTATAACTCTGGCATGGGTTGACTGTAGGTTATCTCCTATTCATTTAGAATAAAATAACTTACGCTGTACCTTTTATACATGCTTGTCTTTTCCCTCTAATAAGACCAAGTCTAGCCAGACTTGCCGATTTCACTGTATTAACAAAATCTGCAATAGAGCTGCAATCTGTATTGGCAAAAGACTTTCTTCCACTGTAACTTTCCCAGCTTCCTAAATGAAATATAAAGTCTCCTTCTGTTGGTATAAAAATGTCAGTTAGGATTGTGATTCTTTGAAGTATTATATCAGGAAGGATTTATAGCATAGACCTGGTCTTTTAAATGAAGTGTTTAGCTTGAATATGTAAGATAGGCACTGCTGGAAAACAGAGTAGATTGAAGGGAACAGTTGCTTTCTGCTTTGAAGTTATAGTTAGGATGGAATTAACAACTGTATTTTCATGAAAGGAGTCTGTTCTACAGGATTGTTTGACTGAATTTGCACATCAGGTTGATGAATCTAGTGTAGGGCAGAAAAAAGGAAGGCCCTTCTGAATTTCGAAAAGCATACCTCGTATTTAGAAAAAAATAACTGTAAAATAATCCTGTGATTTTTCTATCCCCAAACCAAATTGCTCTGTGATTTACTATCAAAATAGTTACTTGACTTTCCTTACCTATTTTATAAATTGGTATGGTAGTATTTTACTTCCCCTTAAATATGATTTTTTTCCTAGATGCCCGAATTCTGATACCCTTAGTAATGTGAAACAATAGGTTACTCTGGTTCCATGAGTGCTCCTTCTGGCCAGATTAGGGATGCTGGTGATATCTGGGTCGAAGAGGAAAGATCTAACACAAAGTTCTATAATTTATTTTAGTAACACAAGCTTTTATCTGTTACAACTCATGACAGACCTCTGGCTGGACACAGCAGTAAATAATGATCGTGAGCAGCTAGAACAGAACAGAACTAAGCTGATGTTTGGAAACTTGAAGTGTATTTTGAAGCTTTCTCGGTGTTTTGATAGTGTTTGATGAGTTCTAATATATGGATAGATAAGCTAGGATGCACACTAGAAATGCAGCATTTTATCTGAGGCAACTCTGCTCTGCTAATTTTGCAGTGATGCTGTTCACAACAGAAGGCAGATCTTGGATAGCATATAAAGCTCTTTGCTTCTGGAAAAAGTCTTGTTTAAAGAAAAAGAAGAAACATCTTTACAAAAATACATTTTTATTATTACAGTAATTTAAAGGAAGATTTTTTTTTTCATCATTTGTGAACAAACAATATTGTAAGAGGAATTATCGGTAATAGATCTACAGGCACAAGGATTGTCATGGCTGTGTTTCCTATTGCAGGTGTTAGGTCCGCTTCACATATCTGCATGTTTACAAGCTATCTTAAAATGACAGCAAAAGTATACTTTGGTGTTTGAAGGATGTAATTACTCAGTGAAGCTTCCTAAGATGAAAAGTCAGAAGGAATAATTCTTCAATCTGTGTTTGCATTGAAAAGGTGAATCCTTACTTAAGGTTCACAAGCAGCGTCCAAGCTGAGGGAAGATGGTGAAGCACACAGGTGCCAGAGGTCAGAGCCAGAGACTAGCTCTTCATTGGCCTGAACGTTTTCTGGGTTCCAGGTTATCAATGGCAACACTTAAATATTCCCTGAATGGAGAAACACTTCAGTTTGACTGGACGCAATCTTGGAAGTACTTGTACGTGCTTATTGTCACAATGGTTCAAATAAGTAAAACGTACATTTGAATAAATGCAAGATCAGTCCATTAAACTGCAGCCTGTCCCTGCTTCAATCAAAATAAATTAGTTTTGTCATTAACCAGAATAAGCAAACTCTAAGAATACTGTAACCTTCTCTACGTTAAAGAAACAGCTGCAAAAATATTGCAGATTCTTAGGAATTTCTGGACCCCTAATATAGCTCAATTTCTAGTTTTTAAAGCACTATCTTAACAAAAATGGGTCTGAGCAAGTCTAATATGAATTGTAAATCTCTTTAATGTAGGAAGGCTTTAGATTTGAAGAGAGTCTCTTAATTTTTTGCAATTGTAGTTTGCATTCATCTATTCTAAAAATAAAAGTTTGCAATACATCTGTAATATCAAAAGATACCAGCTAAAACTTTGAATTTCTGAAATTAAGTAAACCAGTCCACCTGGGCACCTAAGAAAGTACTTTTTCTGGATCCCAACTTATGAGGCTATAATAAAGTCATATATATTATCCCACAGTATAAAAATTAGTATGGTTTCTAACCATACAGTGGGATTTCATGCGGCCTACTGGGAGATCCCAAGTCCCACAGAAGTTCAAAGAAATTTAGGTGGCCAGGTCCAGTATATTTGTCCTTCATTCTTTGTTACTTCAGGATACCTAGTGAATATTTTGGAGAGCAGCATTTGAGTACACTTTGAGACACCTTCACAGAGCCTGATTTTTCATGAGGAACATATCTAACACTCAAAATCGGAGCTCTCCCTATGGCTCAAGCTGAGTTCTCAGAGCTAAGACTTCAGAAATCTCTTTTTTTTCCCGACTCTTGCCCTTAATTAATTTTCTTGCCCTTAATTAAGTTTACTGTCTGAAATACAAAACTTCATCATTGTGCTTACATGACTCCATGAAGCCTACTAAGTACAATTCAATCACTTCTAAAACTGTTTCAACTATTGCAAAGTATAGATCATCTCCAAATAAAATATTCTAAAAAGTAAGACATACTGAAAAGCTTCTTGTGTGCATCTTCCCCATAATCTTAAAACATAAAAGCCAAAGCAGTGCAAGCTTAGTAGGGGAGAGTCTTTCAGTCCGTTCTTCCAAGTGGTTTGAACTAAAGGCAAAGTTTTCCATAAAAACAGCTGCCTCTGTTAATAAAATGAACGGGAACCTTTTTTGCTTGCTATGGATAAAGCAAGATTTAAGTGCATCAGGTCATGTACAGTTAGGCAAAATATTACGTTATCTATTATTACTGCTCACTGGATTGCAGTAGTTCACAGAGTTTCACATGCCAGTTTCTGGATGTCCATCTCGGAGAACTTGAAAAGTTTCTCTCTCATATAATTTAATCCAGCACAAATTTCAGGTTCTCATCTCTGTGAATCACTGCATTCATCTTCTGAGTAAGTTTAAGAACTTTCTCTACCTTTTTAGGAAAAATAATACGAGAAACTGGGGCACTAAAGAAAATGAAACAAGATTCATTAGTGTAGCAAAAGCTATTGTTTGCATCAACTGCCCTAACTTTTCTCATCCTTTCTTTGCTGACAGGTTATTTCCTGTTACATCTCAGTAATGATTTTGAATCATTTCAACTATAGGAAGCAGAAACTTACACAAAAATTTTAGAATTATTTCTGTATACCCTTGATCAGCAACACATGCCCCTTTAATTTTAATAGTATTGTCATTTTAATGGTCAGTCAGTAACAAGCGATTATGCAGCAATACAGAAAACACCTGACAGGAGTTTACCTTCAGTTACATTATCTGCTGCAGGCATAGTCACTGTTTTATTTCCTTTTTGCAATGCTTAGCACAAAGAGGTCCTCACTCGTCACTAGAGGACCTAGGCATTGCTGTATTGAAAGAAATTGTGATGAATGCCCAGTTATCAATGGTAATAGCAACGAGATGTTGTTATGTCACTATTCAGTCTAGCTCGAGTGTAGGGCACCAGCCTGACCTAAGGATCACTGTAGTCAGTGAACCTAGAGAAGTACGACTTGACATTCAGATCGTTCCTTGGGATTTTGTTTTCTGTGCTCATTGAGGATGCAATGTGAACTATATTTACTTGTGAAAACAGCCTCGACCATTTTGAAGATACTTTAGGAAAATACAGGGCTTTTGACTCTGAATTCTGCAAGCAGTGAATCAGCTCATCGATACGTTCTTCACTGTTCAATCTAACATCAGACACTTTGAGAATTATGATTTTTTTTTTTTTTCCCCCCCGGAAGAGAAATTTTGAAAATTTCCCAAGTCTAATAACATAGGTTTCATTTCACTATGTAGATCTTGCACTATAAAGCAGTTAGTGTGGAGACATATGTGGAATTTCAAACCTGTGGCACTTTCATATTGCTACAAACCATTTCCTACCATATGAAGTACTTGTGTAATTCTTTTGACAGTTATAACTTCTTTATTTCACAGTACCTGTTTCTTCTGCCCCCTCTTCTTTCCCTCCTCCCCATTTCCATATATAACTGAACATACCTTCTTCCCTGGGACCAGCCACTGGTACCACCACATTTAGTATGTTTTAAGTTGAAATGTTTCCTACAAAAATGAAACCCTTTTTCTTTTCCCACTCCAATAATCTTCACTGAGAAAAAGGTTCCTTATAAAAGTGGCTGAGGATAAAACCAGACAGCCAAAAAAGCTCAAGTTTTAAGATGTATCTGTGTTCATTGAGATAGCAGTTCAGGAACAATTCAGCCTGAACTACAGCATCCCTAAAGACTGAATTTGTCCTTTTTCAAGGCTAATTCTCTTAATCTTGGATATTATTTGCTAAATATCATGGAAGAAAAATGTAATTTTAGTTCTGATCTGTACTTGTAGGTTGACTTTTGATGTAGGACGCTTTGACAAAAGAGAAAATTATGGGGCAATAGGAAAGCAAGCTCTTCAGGATGTTAAACAGAATCAGTCTTCCTGTTAAATGCTTCCTCCCTCAGGTCTTGACAAGGTGATGGCTTTTGGAGGATGGAGGTTCTCAATATCATCTGTGTGCTGTACCAGATACTGTGGCTTCTGTCAATCACTTGTGAGTTTGCCTTGCTTGTTGCAACCTGTAATAGATGATTATTCTGTCTACTTCAGAGAAACTGGCTCGATGGGCCTTTCTCTTCCTAAGCGTATGTCATCTTCCCGAGATAATTAGATGGTACATATCCTTTCTGACCTTTTGCTTCTGCTAGCCACCATTCTTTATTGCCACTCAGGTCAGAAAACCGAAGTATCCTAACCTTCTGGTATTCCTGAAGACTGAGTTCCTGATCATTTCTTGCTTGAAATGCGTACACAGCATAGAAGGTCTGAAAAAGGAAAGCCACAAAAACCAAAATCTGAATTCAGAAATGTAGCTACATCTTACCCTGTCATTGCGTATGAATTCTGTATAGAGAAAATGCGTAATAAAGTATACAAACCAGTACGCAACTATATGATCTGCAATTGCTAGACAGACTACAATGAACAGGGCCAAAATAAAAAGTAAAATTGAAGGATCTGGGGAATTCTGCATGGGGAGGAACAAACGAAGCTCAAAGACCTCATCACCTTACTGCACTAGTAAGGTTTTCAGCTCACACCAAGTGCCTGTTTCTGTCACACCAAGTGGCCTTGGATTGGACAAAGACTTTTCCAGCAAGGTTTCTTCAGGGAGAATCACCTTTTCTAAAGCTCCTGTACTGAAATGAAGCACACAAGTCACTTCCGTGCCTTGCTGGCTTTGCCACAGCTTCCTTGTCAATGCTAAGTAGAAAAATCCCCGCAAAATGAGCTATTTTGCAGGTTGCTGATCCATAGGAGAACCTTGAGGTATTGTATGTGGGGTGGGGTAATGCCACAGTGTGTTTTCTGTGAGACAGGACTACAATTCATGGTTTAACTGATTATCTTTTCCTATCTCATAGCTATTTAAGAAAGACAAAGAACAGAGGATAACAAATTCCCATGCCATCTGACAGATTAGTGCCAGTCATTTCCAGTGCAAGAGGAAACAATTTAAATTATAAGCAGTATAATTCTAGATTGGAAATAGAAACAACAAGAAGACAGGCGCAGTGCGTATCATACTTACATGCTGATCATCCATATCCTGAAAAGCATCAGTCCCTGTACCATTAATTGTGGCATTTTCACAGAATTGAAGACATGAGCTGCTGTCACTCTTCTTGTGTCCTGGATTTCTTGTGCTGCTGTCAGTAGAGGGCCGTGAAGAGACAAAGAGGCTGATATTATCAAAATCATCATCACCGAAGCCATTTTCTGCTACGTCCTTCTGTGCTTTGGCTGGATTGTAAGGTCTCAGGAAGGAGGAATACACATACCCTTTAAGGACTAGACACCAGAATAAAAAGGGAGAAAATAAACAGCAAAATACTGCTAAAACCATTTCAAAACCAACTATTTTATGCAGCTGTCAGTATAACAGAGGCAAACAGATGGGGCCAGAATGAAAAGAAATCATTATCCCAAAGGGAAGCTGTTATTGGGATGTTTGTGCAAAGAACTTACTTCCTGTGTCAACAAGCCATCTGCTTGTACTTCCGAAGGGGTCCTTTTGCTCCACAACAGCCACCAGTTCTCCTTCATGTAAATCAATATCGAATTCCTGTGTGGCATTGCACTTGCGCTTAGCTTGGTAGAGCAATTCTGTGCTGTATGCAGTCAACAGCTTGGACCTGTGGCCTTCTGTTTGACGTGGGGATTCGAGCTGAAAAGCAAAGAAAATATTCACTGGGAACAATGTTGAGGCCATTTCTAGAGCAACACGGATGCATAAAAAGCAGCGTATGCTGCATATGGCAACTAACCCTACGTTTTTACACCCAGATCAAGGAGTTACTTACACAGCTATATGTAACCAAATCTCCTTTGCATATACAGCAAGGACCTGTCCAACTGCTATATTAATAGGTGAGCAATAAAGGGCAGATTTTAAAGAAATGTAGGAATTTCACTGAGTAAAAATCTCTTAGTCTGTCCTCTGCTCTCAGAGAGCTGGTGCTCTGTATGTGAACTGTCACTTGCTTAATTGTTTTTCAGTAGCAATGATCTTTGAATTCCTATCACAAAAAAAAAGCATAATCCAAAAATCAGCTGAGGTGCACTAAGGTCACATAACAACTTGCATGATAAGGTGCCAGTCAAAAAAAAAAATCAGTGGTACCCAAACAGACTGCTTTTTGTGTGAAATGACCTTGCTAAATAAGGGCAAGCTGCTATTAACCGCTGGAAGCACATTCACTCAGAGTTTGGTTAGAGGGCAGGGAGGGAGGTGCTGCACATCAGCGTGATCTTAACGTACCACAGAAGCAAGAGCACATGTGCCTTATTGATGCTAAAAGGAATCCTACAGCTTCCTCAGCTTCTCCTGTAAATCTGCACTTGAGTTTTTATTTTTCTGTAAACTAGACTCCTAAAAGCTCTGGAAATGTCTGATAAGATTGGGAACTAGGGGATACAGACTTCCTGGTGGATTTTCTGAATCTTTGTCTGTGGGGGTGTATGTGTGTGCATAAGTGTGTAAACACCAGTACACATAACCGCAGCTGAGGATGAGGAAAAAAAATCTTCTGGATTAGAAGACTAAGACACACTGTAAGAGTATTTAACAAAAGAAGTAATCAAAGTTGACATATACAACCTTAGACTTAGCATGTGCAGAGATAATTTCAAGTGGATTTTCAAGATTACAACATGAAAACAGTGAAAAATCTTCAGAAGTTACTGGTCAATGCAACAGCTTCATTCCAACAAACTGATTCAGAGTCACAGTGAAGAGACCAAGCCCAAACCTCTAGGTGGCATAAAAATGGGTTTGTTTCAAAAGCAGTCCAAAAAGGATGCTTCATACACAATTCAGATGTATGGTACTCACCGGAGAAGGGAGAGGTTTCTTTTTTTCCAAGCTCCATTTTCTCTCAATGAAGGTTGCACTGCTGTTTTCTTTTACAAAATTCAGCTTGTGAACCTCCTCCATCAACTGATTCTGCACTTCGCAGATGCTTGAAGAAGACAGCTGCAAACACAAAGGTGGGTTAGATCTCATGAGCAAAATGATAAGGAGATTTGAGAGAGCGGATTTGGTTTAATGGGCTGAACACAAGGAATCAGGAAATCTGACAAGTCACTGCTATTCTCTGCAGAGCCCATAGTGTGCTAGGTACGAGATGGAAAGAAAAGAAAGATCCTTGCTTAAGAAAGTTTCCAACGGCTGCTATTAGATTTAAAAGACATACTAATTTAAGTTAAATCATTAAAAAATATTCTAAACAGTGACGAAAATGAACAGCCTTGCACTTATTCTGCTGGGCCACCTGCTTTCAGATGCAAACGTGCATCTCGGCAGCTATCAGTGGTCAACCACCAGGTTAAAAATCGTTGGGTAAGCTGAAGCTCTCTCTGTGGCACTGGGTAAGTGCCTTTGGTCTATGTCTAACCCCAAATGTATTTGCTGATGTAAACGAAAAGAAAAAGAAAAAGAAGGTAATTTTGTAGGCAGAGCCTCACAGAAAATGATGCTGTCAATACAACAGCTTTCAAAACATGGAATGGTCAAATTACAGGGATGCAATTTCTTCATGCGGGAAAAGCCTTCATTTTCCCATTAAACAGTGCAGCTCTATGTTTTGATCCTGACCTTGTTTCTTAATATTTCAGCTGCCCTGACTATAAAGTGCTGTGTTCAAGCCTTCATGGACAGGAATACTCCAGTATTGCCGCATTACAATGTGTTTCCTATCTAGAGCCTTGCTCCGGTTCAGGTGAGTGGATTTGGGCATGTAGAAGCATTGTTGCAGCTGTGTTTCTTGGGGGGGGTTCGAGTTCTCCAGGCAAAAGTACAAGAAAACTGTCACACTGTAGAATTTTTCACACAAATTAAGAATAATTTCTCAACTTAAATCTTCAGGTAATGATCATAGTGCCCAGAAAGAGTAGAGTGGGCTGGAGGAACTGATGCCCTTCTGCATAGCTCAGACAGGCATCTTTTGGCTACAGAAGTGAAATGATTTGAACTTTCTAAAAATGCCAACGTAGGCAAAACTATCCCTTACTGACTAGAGATGTCTGCAAGATCTTCTGTGGCACATTTGGGTTTAAAAGCAACTTGCTTTTCACAGAAATTATTTCATCAGATCTCCTAACCTGCTTCTTTTCTGCCATCATCTGTGACTCTGTGGGTCTAGCAGCAACACTTCATGTACTATCTTAAAACTTCTCTTGTGTTTTCAGGGCTACTCAGAGTAGATGCTAAGAAACAAAGACTAAAATGCTAGCAGCTGCCTCCTTTTTGCCTTACTGTAATGTTCTTGCCGTTAGCATCACTGTAGCAGCTGGAACAGCTGCATTAGGATCATTCTCGATGAAAAGTCCAGGCCTAACAAAACTTAAGCTCAGAACTTAACCTTTGCTGAGCTTGCAAGGAAAAAAAACTACCCCAACCTGACTGTGCTTAGCAGAACAAACAAAATCAGTGTAGCTTGTAGGTATGTGTCCTGCATAACTCTAGCCAAATCATACAAGAAGAAAAAAGACAAATAAAGGCAGAGCAACATGTTTCTAATGTACTTACCGGAACAGGCACCACCATAGTAGAATTTGATTGAAGTGCTGCAGACATAATATTCCTGAGGAGGGTGATGAAGCAATGCAGGCAGTTCAACACAATCTTTTTGGCTGCTCTGTTGAATACCTGAAGTTCTTCCACTAGCTGTGCATTTAGAGCCTCATAGTCTTTCTTTGCCAGGTCCAGTTCTTCTCCTGTTGACCTCTGAAGGTAGCTGTTGTAGTCCAACAACTTGTCATAGCGCTTCTGGATGAGCTTCTGTGGGCCTGAAAACAAGGCTTGTAGTGCTGAGAGAGGAGACAAAACAAGCTTGTCCAGCTGAGCCATCTGGAAAGGTATAAAACAGACCTACTTATTACTTTATTCATACAGTTCTTCAGACCCAGTAACAGGTTAAGCCTGATGGCAGACTTTCAAGCAATCTGTTAACTACTCTTCACAAAGCACTGCCGTCAGAGGCCGCTTCAAGCAGGGTCTAGCATGACTTACAGTCTCCTCCATAACATTGCAAAGGAGAGGTAACAGTTTTGCAGCTTAACATGTCTGGTAATGGCAATGGTCCCTTAGGAGCACGCAGCCTCCGGTACTGCCCTTGGTCTGTTACCACTGAGGAAAAACTGTGCAAGGTTTGGTGAAGTGGTCCAATGAAATTGGGATTTCCATGACTGGAAATGTACTGCCCATGCCAATATACAGTGTAGAGGCAATGAGGTCTTGTTAAATGGCAGTCTTTCTGTCTTAAATGCTATCGAAGCTTTTTTTTTTTTTTTCTGGAAACAGCTGTAACTCAATTCCTGTTTAAGCAAACACAAACAATCCCTTGATTTGATTAAATTATGTTATGCTTGTTGGTTTTATCTCTAGTAATCAACAAAATTAGACACCTGGTAAAAAAACAAAGTCTTTCTCAGACTTTTCCATTAGTCTCTAATTGTCTCAAGGGATTAATATTGCATGAAATAAAATTTATTTTTGTAAGTCACTTGTTCAAATACAGCACAAGCTTGTAGTGAGTGAAATGCATCATCATATTTAAGTTCTTGGACGTTCTATGTGAATTAAGTTGTTGGGTTGAATGTCAGAATAAAAAAGCAGCTGTCTCTCTACCCTCCGTAACACACCAAAGTTGAGGACAGATCTATTTTAGCACCAGAATTGCTCTCCCAAAGCCAAGATGATGCACCCTGGCTAGATAGTTCCTACTTTATTTCCACATGAAAAACTGGGCTGTTTAGCGAACCAATTTTTGATATATTAGAAAATAATTTTTTCAAACTGCTGGACCTGATTTCTGGAAGAGAAGAGGCTATTGTGGATTTCTGCCCTAAAATTTTCCCTAAAATATAATGAGAGAGGAAAGTATTCCTTATTGACAAACGCACAAAGGAAAAAAAAAAAACTTGAGCCTATTGCTGAGACCTCCATTGATAACACCCTTTCAGGAAAACATGTGAAGAACACTATGGGCTGTTCAGTGAGAACATCTCTTCATGCAATGTCAGGACAAATGTTTTTCTAAAAAAACCCTTATGCATAGGGCAGAGAATCCTTTTAATCTTGTAAATCCAAGACATAGAAATAAATTGATAATAAGTAGAAATTAACATGGTTAATAACAATGTCAACAGTTAAACCAAATAAGATTAAGATTATCTTTTTTAATTACATAGACCTTCAGAATAGCTAGACCTTCAGAATAGCTAGGTCATGAGCTAATACGAGTTACAAATTTTTTTCTGAAAAAACTTTTCTGGTTCTTGTATTGTGGAATTGCTTCTGCTTTTCTTCGATGTTTCTGAATATAGGGACGTATTCGACACTGGATACACTCACCACCGCAATGGTAGAGGGGTACTCTTCTGCACTTTATGCACTCATTCATTGTAAAGACATTGAAAATATCTTTCTGATTATTGAGATTAATTTTTGAGATTCTTTTCAAATGGGGGAACTTCAAAGGAAAGGAAATACAACATCTTAGTTCCCTGTCATTATCTGGAGGATGTGGTCTGTCAAAGATCCCTCTGTTTCTTGGCAGACTCCGTTTTCAGTGTTTTGGAAAGGATTGAATGGCTATATTTTAGTCAGCACAAACCTAGGAAAGTATAAGAAAACCTCCACCTCTGAATTTTTCCAGCTTTAGTAGCTGTTTGAAAAAGCAGCCTGCCCCATTTTGAAGAGACATTTTAGTCTATCTTGGTAGAGCCAGGAATTAGAGTTCATTTGGACCCTGAAAGCAAGAGACTACTTGAAAAAGTATTACCTTTTTTTTTTCTTAAATTGCTTTTTAATTCCTATGGGCTATATTGAGATTTGTCATGGTTTCCCTATAGGAAGGATAGTAACTCACTTGAGAAAAGGTAATAAAGCTGAGATTTTCACAGATCTATGATTCCAGGAGCTAACAGTTCATGAGCACAACAAAGGTGGCAAAAGTCACTCTAGAACTGCAAGTGTTGGTAACTTAAGTAGCAAAGCGAAGATCTGCTGCTTTTGTCTGTAGCTCAGGTGAAACATGCAGATTCAGCACAAAGATTTTAGTTTAAACCCAGGAATTTAGCCTGAGAAGTTTTCTTCAGCTCTTCTATGGAAAACACAGTGCGCTTACACTGAATTTTATCTTATTTCTTACAGAAACTCAACCAAAAAACCCACTCATCTTTCCCAATGGATTCGTAAGGTTTTTTTGCTGTTTTCTGTCCTAGTCTTCCTCACATACACCTGTTTTCTCACACATACAGATATATGTGTAACACTGGACATTTCATAAACTTACAAGGTCTTCACAGAGATTTGCAGTGTTGTTCCGTTTTTTCAAACAGTCGTTGACTTCGTCATCTTTGTCTTGCAAGATTTCCTGGAGCCCAATTATATTCTGTGCAGCCAGATGTATAGAATCCTAAATGAGAAGATGGTAGGAAGATGAAACTGTATTATGATCTGTTTTAATATACTGCATTCACTCATGCAGATACTGCAGTAATACTGATGGAATCAGAAATATTTTCCATCTCTGACACCTGTGTTGTTTCTGTGTAGTTTCCAGCCATTGTGGGATTGTTTTCTGTGATAATATTTTCCTGTGTTTTGTCTGTTTTCAATGCAAATATTTAAGAATCAAGTTGTTAATGTTCAACTGAATAAATTATGCCCAACCTAATGAACATCCCACTGGAAGTTAGCTAATTCTCAGCAAGAAGCCAGCTCAAGACCCTTACCTCAAAGGGCTCTTTTGGAGGACTAAGTAAGACTACAGTGGTGTATTTCACTTACTGTGAATTTTAATCTTAATGAAGGGTGCATCCGTTTGCATAAGGAACTGTCAACACCATTCCAGGCAACAAGTCTTGTTGGCTGAGCTCACTGGCCTTCCCCTGTTTGCTGAGCCAAACGAGGTGCATTTGCGATAAGCTCTGGCCAGCTGGCTATTGATCTTACCTACCTCTCAAACAACCTTCGTGTCCGGTTTGGGTGCGCTTACACTTTGAAGGGCCTTACGCCATCTACAAAGTTGGCAAGTTGCCCATGAGAGGGACAAGTTGATAAGTTACAAGCAAACCCACATCTTCGGAGAGGAGGATTAAAGCAAAGACATTTACAGCAGTTGAACATGCTGTACAACTAATGCTAGCCCTCAACGTAAGCTAGCAACAGGATAAAGGAAGGAGTCCAAAGTATGTATATTAGGACATTTTAATTCACGTTGCTGCAACTCATTTCTTCCATTTTTAATGAGAAGCAGTTGGTGCTCCACTGCGACAGGTGTGCATGACCCATATGATGGCTTCACACAGTGACTGAAAGTCATAACTGTGCCACCAGACACCACCACGTTTTCTGCACTGCACCCAGGCTCCATGGAGCCTGCTTGTGTAAGGGGAAAAATGCAGAAGTGTGGGCTTCAAAACTTTGTTGCCATAGGCTCAGTAATGCAGCAGCAGCACAGCTCCTCTGTTTGATATTGTGGTGTAGACAGGCCTGCCTATAAATAATTTGGTGTTGCCTAACCAGTGGCAGAAATGTGTGTTAAACTGGTTATGGGCATGGTTTATGGCCACAGATTTCAAAAAGGCCTGTACCCACCTGTAGATGTTGCGAGGAAAGTGAAATGTTCTTCACACACAATTTCACAGTCTTCTCTAAACTTCGAAATAACTTTTCTTCCTTATTAAAAGTTTGATCTTTCACCTAAAATAGATGTTTGCACTGTTATTTTGGCAGCCCAAAAGAGCCTGGCTAATGAAAGAAATGTCCAGAGCACTGCTGGAAAAATCCCAAACCTTCCCTGAACTCCTCCCTTTGAAAACTGAACGGATTGGCCCTCAATTCTCCCAAGCTCCAGTTTTAATTCAAGGAAAGTCAAAGGCACAGGGCAACGTGACAGAGAATTTAATTTTTAATCCTTGTGGAAGCAGAGAGTTGCTTTGTTACAAGCACACCTACATATACTAATAAGCCTCTTCATTTCTGTATATTGTTGCTCCATTTGAGGAAATAATGGTGAAAATTTTAAGGCGTTTTTATGTTATGGCATTACTTCCCTGGGTGCTTATTTGTGGGTGATGGGGAGATTTCCCCCAGGCAGGCTGTAGGTGGAGCTGTTATCTCTACAGCAATGCCCGCTCTTCAGCTAGAAACCTCAGCAGCTGGAAATAGGCTTGTACTACTTGTTTTTTATGCTAGCTGAAAAAAACCTGAAAATACGTTCACTTCTGCCTACCTTTTACTTAAGGAATTTGAGAAATCTCACATCTCCTTTTCAGTGGTCTTGCTGTAAGGGTCACAGCGTGTTTCACAGATGGGAATTGGGAACTTTCTTAATCTAATTAAGCAGGAGAGAGGACTGAATATTTAACAGATGTATCCTGATTCTAAAATGATTCTCAAATGTTTTAAGCTTAATTAAAAAAACAAAAAAAAACATAAACCAGAAGCTTCTAAAGAAAAAAATAAAAATCACATCTCCTCTTAATCAAATTTAATTCCCTGTTTTTCTCTGATTTTACAGCCTTGCTGGTGTCCCATTCTAAATACAAAAATTTCCACTGTACAAATAAATGAACAGAAAAAAGAAATGTGGGTAGTTTGCATCAGACAAAGGGGGAAACCACTGATAAAAAAACAAAATAGGAAAAAACGGCATGTATCTTGTAAAGTCACATCTAGAAAGGCAAGTGACCTTGTATAATCAGCCTCTCATGCAGTGAGGTGCACTGGATATAATTTTCAAGGTCAGCTGTAATTGATTTTCTTTGAGATTTAGATTTAAGCTTTCCTGAATATGTTTATCCTGCTAGGTTTTGAATTACAACCTCAAAATTAGGAAAGAGTGTTTTATTTTTGGCCACACAACACCCATCGGACTTATCACAGGGTTCTTTGCCTCTGATAGGTTTGACCACTAAGGTTCCAGGTCCTTACACATGTAGAGGCAAACCCCAAGGCCTTTCCTAATCAGAAGTATTGTTCATCTTCCTTGGTAGGTTCAGAACCTGAATGTTATGATGCAGCAAGATGGACTGAACATGTTCTCAGCACCAACAATAACTATTGCCAGTCTATCCGCAAAGCGCCGATCTCAGGCTGAGTTTCACAAAACTACCAGTAACTTCCTCTCTGCTGCAGATCAGAAGTTTGAGAAACTCTTAGATAAAAAAGGAAAAGGTGGAGAGCACATTATGTTATTTTCTATTTCAATCACAAAGATCTTTCCTGTCTTCTGTGACAGTCAGAAAATGACTTTATAAATGATGCAGAAAAAAAGCAACACCACAAACTCCATTTCCAACATGTTTTAAAAAATGCCCAGCTCAAAAGCAGAACTGAAGCTGTCAATGCAAATCTGCAGTGGGATGAGTAAGTACCTGAGGTTCTCCCCCCGTCAGTATTTTCAGATGGCTGGTGACCCTCTTGGATTTCTTGCTAATGGAGTGGATATTCAGTCGGGAAAACTTTTCTTTAAGGGTTTCATCATCATCATTCCTCTTATACTTCAGCACTGCAGACAGAGAATTTCATGACACTAATAATCTGTATTCGCAGTGCTTTTCACAGGGACAGGCACACAAATATGAAACCATTTGAGAGCAGACACTTTGATGTCACTTGCTGTAATCTTGTGTGAAAATGCTTGAGATGATGAAAACCCTATTATCAACACTAGTCTTGGGAAGAGGTGGGGCTTCGACGTGGCAAGTCTATGAGAAATATTGCTATCACTGCATCTTAATTATTATCAGTGTTTGCAACTGCATTACAGACAATGAACATGGATATAACATGAATTCTTTCATCATTTTCATATTTCTGGAGTTACCAGTCAGATAACATAGCTGGCTGAGGACAAGTGACATTAAGGCATCTGTTACCTTCTGGAAACCCAGTGTATTACACAACTTGGGTAGCAGCAGCCAAGACTGTTGTAGTGATACGACTGGAGTCGAAACCTCTCTTGTAATTGCCAGCCCAAACCTACGAAGTCAGAAGAATTTGCTATGCCTTTTCCTTACCTAAATCTTTCCTCCTTTTAAGTTCATTGATGTTCACATTAATGTTTTTCATAGCAAAAAGGGCGTCTTGTAGCGCCTTGTGGTCAGGGTGAGAAGCAGGAGTTGAATTCAAGAGTTCACAGAGTAACAAGGGATATTTCATCACCCGTTGCACTGGTTTGATCATCAGGGATCCCATGTCCGTTAGATTTGGCTTTCCTCTATAATTTATACAAAAAAAAAGAATTGTCACATAAGGAGAAACTCCTTGAAGACAAAAACTTCTTATTATATCTGTCTAGTCATTGAAGCTGCTGCTTTTTTTATCCTTCAGTTGAGCTTTCAACTACAGAAAATATCAAAACCAGAGCAGTGCTTTGCACTGAGTCATGGAAGTGCAATAACCACTTAAGTCAAAAAATAAGATACATCTGTCAGGGAACACGGGCCATTGTAAATGAAACCCTCCTCTCGCCCCCTCAATGAGAAATACACACCGGGTCTGAGTTTTCTGTATTGTCAGCAAACTGCCAGACTATTGCTCAGACATTACCTCTGAAACGATCCCACTCAGTCTGAGGGTGCCTGTGGTACAACTCACACACCTCAACACCCAGGAAGGGAGATGTAGGTGGAAGAACAAATAACAGGAAGTCTGAGAAACGCATGTGAGCGGGGTTATTACATCCTGCTCTGGCCCCTCAGGCTTAAAATTGCAATATTTCCCTGCTGTGAGCAACTGGGATGCCCGTTCACAGCTGCATCCCTTCTCTCGACATTTCTCAACTCGCCACTGTGACTCTTAAGCTTTACTGTCTTTTCCCTGTGGTTTTTCTTTGCTGGCTGCCAATAGGTTATTTCTAAGAATGCCTGAGCTTCCCAAGGGTACCAGACCTGGCCTGGGGAAACACTGAACATACGGGATATTCACCCAGGCTTGATCCAATCTGCGGGAAGTCACGTTACACAAAGGCAAAGCAGGCAGGTGCCTGGGGTGGCAGAAAGATGAGGGTAAGGAAGTCAGAGCTTCCAGTGCAGGCACAGGGATGCTCTGTGGCTCCAGGCTGGGTCCTCACTGGCTCAGCAGGGGCAGCAGAGCAGATTGCCCAGGCACCCGAGCAGCTCAAGCCATCAAGGCCACCCGAGCTCTCTGGCCTGGGAGAAAACAAGGCAAGGGCAGGTCCAAGACACATGTGCCTTCATTGCCTTCCACGTCACTGGTAGAAACACAGGGTTTCCTCGGAGTAGGTAACACCAGATGGCCAAGCTCCACAACCAGGGCCAGCCATTAGTGAGGCTCCAGCAGCAGGAAAGACATGTCCATTGTCTCTCCTCGTTACAGCACGCTCCTGAGCAAACCAGGCAACACTCTAGCACCAGTGCTGGTACGAATCACCTGTGACTCACAGACCTCCCCTTTGAAACTGAGCGTGAGCTGTTGGTAACAGTGTGAAGGGCAGCCGCTGGCTCAGCAGGGGCAGCAGAGCAGATTGCCCAGGCACCCGAGCAGCTCAAGCCATCAAGGCCACCCGAGCTCTCTGGCCTGGGAGAAAACAAGGCAAGGGCAGGTCCAAGACACATGTGCCTTCATTGCCTTCCACGTCACTGGTAGAAACACAGGGTTTCCTCGGAGTAGGTAACACCAGATGGCCAAGCTCCACGACCAGGGCCAGCCATTAGTGAGGCTCCAGCAGCAGGAAAGACATGTCCATTGTCTCTCCTCGTTACAGCACGCTCCTGAGCAAACCAGGCAACACTCTAGCACCAGTGCTGGTACGAATCACCTGTGACTCACAGACCTCCCCTTTGAAACTGAGCGTGAGCTGTTGGTAACAGTGTGAAGGGCAGTAAAGCAGAGCAAGCTTTCCATTTGCACGCCTGAAAAGGTTGCTTTGGAGGGGAAAAGGCTGTTTGACGTTAACCATGCGAGAGTTAATGCTAGGCGAGGAAGGATTTCTGCCTATGGAAAGATGGAATAACACAATGTAGAAGGAAAGTACAGAAAACAGGGAACAGCCAGGCTGGTTTTGCAGGCTGACATCTATTGTTTTGTGCAGCAGGAAGAGTAAAAGAGCAAAAAAGCTTTCATTCCCACTTTTATATGTATAAAAAGTACAAGAGCCAATCCTTACTGCTGACTAATTAACTAACAATTTGAATGCCTTTGAGAAGAGACATCTGCATATTTAAACCATCTCTCTCGCACAGGCATTATCTGTAAAAAAGTTCTGCATTAAAAAAAATTAACGGTAGATGCCTTTTAAGGCTTCTTGATGTCCCCAAACCTTCTCATCATTTCAATCCCCCTCATTTCCCCTGTATCCTACATTAAATATAGAGAGCTATTTTCCCTTCTTTCAGCTTCTGGCAGCAATAATGAAAAAAAAAAATCTTAAATTGTTATTGTTTTCTCTGAAAAGCCCCATGAATGCAAATCTATAAAAGCTGCCTCATGAATGGAAAAATCTTCAAGTGTCTTCTCTTTATATAGTTGCACTTTGGACAGCTGCCCAAGTGATAAACAGCCCTCTGTTCGCATATCTGCATGACACAGTCTTGCAATATGGTTCGAGAGATAGTAGGTTTGTTATAAGATAATGACTCCCTGGGGCACTAAATGCCACAAAGTTCAACTCATCTAATTCTCCCCAGCAAGATTAGCTGATGATAGCCACTCTCCCTGGATGAGTCCCGTTTGCAATGCGCCCTGTTAGGACGCACCCAGCCGCGGGGCAGGACGTGGCCTTGCCACACGACCGAAACAGGCGAGTAACGGCTTGTGACATCTATTGTGCAGAAAATTAAGTTGATAATTCATTTGTGATGCTACTTCAGCCTTCCCCCCATGTTATTGTGAATACAGCAAGTATTCTAGGTCATATGTAGCTGTACTAATCTCATCACAAATTATTACCATAGCTCTGCAGTAAATGCAGCTGGCTTAACGGCAGTGAGTTTCACAGCATACCCTTCCTCCCTCCTCCCAACAAAACAAAGTCACAAATGCAGAAGCATTCCGGCCTGTTTGAAAAACACATGGTGGTAGCTATGCAAAGACAGGTGATGCAGGATTTAGTTTCATTTGCTCCCATTACCCAACAACTAGGTCCAGTGGCAAACGCGATAGCCAGTATGGTACAGCACAGCTGAGGCCGGTGTCATATTCAACTTGGCAGATTTGAAATGGTGTGAGGGCATCAGAGGCTGCAGAGTGACTTGAAATCTTGGGCTTCCTCGTTTACTGTGCGTGAATGCAGACCAAATAATTCACTGTGCCGTAAGACCCTCATGCAAACCCAGGGAATTCACTGTGCCGTAAGACCCTCATGCAAACCCAGGGAATTCACTGGGGCTGCACAGTTGTTAAGCCAAGCAGAATTTAACCTACTGAGCTGCTAGCAAAGGGCAGCACTGTCTGGTATTTATGTAATTGTTTTCTTGATCATGCTTGAATGAAAACCAATCTGGGAGCAGCAACATCACAGAGTTTGGGGTGAGTTACGCTGTGTTTTCCAGCTCAACGTTAACCAGATTTTTGGGCACGGTCCTGCCCAAGGGCTGTAGAGACTATGCAACCTCTGAGCTGAGTTGCAGGTGATGGCATTTCTGAGTGCCCTGCCGGTCAGCAAGGAAGACAGATGCCACCACACCGTGGGAGGTACCCAAGCTCAGGGAGGGTCCCGCAGCTAAACCTGGCTCACTGCACTCTGCACAGCTTTATAAGAGCAAGTTTAAACTCTGAAAGTGAGTTGTATCCTACACTCCACTGGAAACTCTTTGAAGGAGAAAACTAGGCATTCATTTCTGATAGGGTTACACGTGGCAGAGCAGCCAGTCTTGCGCTATTTCTATATGTGTTCCTGGCGCACATGATCTTACTGTGACTCTCTGGGTATTTTGTTCCTCTGGGAGCCCCGCTCCTTGGGAGACAGGAGTACACAAGAATGTCCCTTATCAAAACAAAATGCAGAAAAACTATTTCCTGTCATAAACTAAAGCTCAAAAACCCCAACTGTAGAATTTCAACATGCAAATCCTTCAAAGTGTGTTTTACACTGATCTTATTTATGACATGTGATTGGCTGACTGGCTAACAAATTCTCTGACTTTAAAAAGTGTTCCTCTCTTACCAATATAGAGCACGCTTTATCCTCTTTTCTCTCTTAACATTTTTGTCTGGGGTTGTAATCATTTTTTCCAGTTCAGCTAACCCCTCCTCTGATCTCTCCCTGCAGGTAGCTTCAGGAGATGCTGCATTTCAATGATCCCAACCTGCTGGATGTCCAGGAACTGCAGCTGTGATAAACTCTCCATTATAGCTTTTCAAAGACGCCACATTTGGCACAGAAGTCCCTTAACCACAAGTTGTCGGTGGCTGGGTGAGTATACTGGCAAAGTGTTGCAATAAGCTTGTTCTTTTCTGATGTTCTTCCAGCCACTGTCCGAGGGAAGATCCTAAGGCGGACTTCTCACATAGGGCTACCAAAGGGGTCGTCACCTTAGAAATAGCTTTACTTGTGAACCTAATGTGTATTGTGGCCGGTCTACAGAGGCCTATGCAAAATGATGTCAGAGTGTCTGGATTTCAAAGACTGGCACTATGTTGTTGACAGGCACTCCTGTGGACCCCAATGCTCTCTAAGCACATTTATAAGACAGCGAGGTGATAATAAAGGGTTCCGAATGAATTGACAACCAAATTAAGTAACTTCATAACCACCAGTTTTGAAAGATACTGCAAAGCTAGTGCAGTGGTAATCAGAAAACTAGACAGGCTTAGGGAAATTAAAACTAAGAGTCTTTATCACATATGTCCTGGAAAAAATCCATGGGTTATACTGACACAAAAGGCTTGTGTTCTTAAAATTTCCACATGTATAGTTTTAAGCATACTGAAGATAAATTACAGATATTTTAAAGATTATTTTTACATGTAAGAAAGGCATAGTACTTACTCTTCCTCATATATCTTTCTGCAAAAGAGAAGAAAACAAAACATGTATTAGATTTGTCCTAAAAGGATTTATACAGATCAGAGGCCAGATTCTCAGATACACTTCAGTGACACAGACAGCTGTAACTGGCCAGTTAACTTAGGTTTATGGTTGCTATGTGTCAGCAGAACTGCACAAAACAGCCAGAGGGTACCAGTGAATCTGGCCCTATATCTTTTTGAAAAGACAGCCCCAAATGAGAACGGATTGTCAGAAACTTGGCTTTGGCTATAAGACTCAGCCTTGTCTTAACACTGTTAGAGAAGGAAGTTTGGGTCACTGTGCTAACAATGGTAAGTAAGACCAAGTCCTTAATACAAAAAGTAAAATTAAACATGTCATTCTTACACTTTACATACATTCCTGTCTACTCTCTTCAAATAGAAATGTATTTCTACATGAGAAAGAATACATTTAAGCCTTTTAGGATATAGAATCAATGAAGCTGTTAAATTTTTTGTAGGCTACACATCAACTGAAACCTCTTCAGAGTAGGATGGTGTTGATACATGTACTGAAAGCAGTAGGGACGTACAATTGTAGTTTGAAACATGCAAACACACGCATAGAATATTTTCCTTATGGTATGAATTCACTCAAATGCAAAGGAACCAAAATGTCGCTCCATCTCTGTGTTAGGCTTTCCTGACATCACATCATCAGCCACTGCTTTTTGACTGCCTGCAGTCTTATCTCCTTGCCCACCGGTGCCTAACTGAGCATCTGGGAGCTGATGCTTTCATTGCTTCTGCACTGTCAGCACTTTGTGTGCTTATGACGTCCCTCTGCCCCTGTAATAGTTGACCAAACTACTTCAGACTGAAAGCAGAGCAGGTAGTTGCCAGCATCCTTTTATTTTTACCAGCTGCATTTCTTTGGCTAAGCTAGCAAACAACATCCCCAGTTTGCATAATCGCTGCTGAAACACGGGACTCTACAGAATTTGGATTTGCACATGTCTCCAAGGCAGACACCTACATTTTGGGATGGAATTTCTCCTCTTCAGTCAACACGAGGAATAGGAATCTCAGCATGGCTAATTAAATCTGATTTGTCTGTACAGATGTGCGGAGTGCCAGTCTCAAATTGCTCCTGATATAGAAATTGTTTTTCACATGGCAGATATTACTCAGCTGAGGAACAGAAGCCCTAATAACATTAGCCCATTTTAATTTTAAAATATTCTTCCAAGGAAAAAAAGATTATTTAAGAAGTAAACATTTTTCAAGAATAGTTGTCACCAGCCCCTGCATTTATTATGTCTCACAATGGAAAACAGCCTATAATTTATTTGGTAAAAATGCTGCATGATTTTCTTCCTAGGACAAGTATTCTCCAACTAGAAGTAACGGGCTAGGTGACCACAGCCCTGCATTTGAGTGTGCACTTTCAGGTCTTAATATTTGAATTGGCTACAATCTTTATGCACTGGGAAAAAACACAATGCACCAGTGCTTTTTTCGTTGGTTCCTGTTTAAAGGCTAATCAGGAAAGAACAAGAAAAAACAAGGCTTCATTGTGAGGAAGGCTTTGTCACTTCCTGCTAGCAAAGGCTACAATGGCTCAGCAGAAAATATCCTTTCTCTTCACAAATCCCAGCTGTGATGTTGGAACAGGAGCTCCTCTTGCTGGCTCTGGAATTCAAGTGGCAGCATCCACCCTAGCATGTTTGTGGATTCCATCTTTTGTCTTTATTTCCTTCCATGTTCTGTTGTCTCAGCAGCAGGGATGAATAAATGACAGTAGGAGCTTCTCTTCATTAGCCAGAGAAGAATATTGTAGGCATTAGCAACTAACACACCCCCTTAGGGGAGATACCTGACCATCCATTAGCCTGCAAGCCTGAGTTTATATGAAAATCTCTTTCTTTCAACTTCCAGGGTAGCTAAAGCCTAAGTACCCTGCACATATACTTTGTTACGTATTTAATAACCAGACATGGTGCACAAAATAAGCCTTATTTTCAACATAACCTGTCTTCAAAGGGAACATTTCTCTTTTAACATTCCTCTACTACTCTTTCCAGATTTCACTTGGACATGCTTCCCATCTGCTAAGTCTTAACACATCTCTGCAGACTGATCACTAACTGGGGCGTGGTTGAAATACCTGTTGCTGATGTACACTCCGTTATTTGTGATAGCTTTACATCTCTCCTACAAGCATGCAGCATGGGCTGTTCCTGGAGCTGGAGCTAGACCTCTGATCTGAAAGACCGTGGTGCATTCCCTCCTGATAGTTCTGTGTGATGCTTTTGGGAAGGCGAGGGGCGAAGGGATTTATGGGTGGGAAGAGAAGCACTCCCCACAGAGTGGATGCGGTGGTTCCTGCAACTGGCTGCAGGAGGAAGCTGCGCTGAGGAAAGACGGATCCATTATTCTGCAGCATCCCCAGTTCTCAACTCATTTTGCCAAGGCGTTGGCACTGGAGCCAACGGCACAAAGCACTTTCCACTCTGGGACTTGGCAGCTTGCTCCAACACTGATGGCTCCCAAATACCCCCATCATGAGGGGTCCAGCACCACACAGCCGCTCCAGATCCCTGGGGCCTTGCAACAGGTGCCCAGCAACACCAGTGCATGTGAATAGCTCCGTTACAGCCTATTTTAATTCAAGCAATAGAATTGCTGAAGATGGGGGCAGCATGTTTCCTGGGAGCCGGGCAAGGTGTTCCCAATAGCCCATGATATGATGCAGCTTTTTTTTGCCAGTACGGGGCACTGAAGCTAAGGGAAGAACAACCTTTCTTGCACTATTTTTGGCCATCTCAGAGAGAAAGAAATCTAATCATGGCCCCTGGCTTGTCATCTTTTCATGAAAGCAGCATAAGCCGGAGCTCCCAGCAAGCCTCATAAAACTCCGGATTTACAGGGGACCTTTCATCTACATCCATTTAAAATGTTCCCTGCCAGGCAACTGACTATGGACGGAAATCATCATTTGAAAAGATCTTACTTTAAGGACTGTACACAGTGTCTTAAATTCTGCTTCAGTTCTTCATCCTTTTCATAGGATTCCAGCATGGTGTGTGCATCATCGTGGCGATAGCAGTAGATTTTATATGTGTCTTCTAGTGGGCCTTTAATCTGCAAGAACACTTCCCCTGTTAAGGAGAAAAACAAAGCGTGTCAAGCCAGACAACAGCATCTCAGAAGGAGTTTTATTATTCCACCACATTAGCCGTGAGCTAAAAAGGCTGGCTTCCACTTTACTTCCCTTAGAAACGATCTTGCGTGTTTATGTGCATTATTTATTACATGTATTTCTCAGCTGCTTATCTTTGTCATAGCCAGGCACCATTATATCAGTGTTAATGCACAAAAATTCCCTCAGGAAAAGGCATGAAATCTCTACACCCTGCACCCCTTCATACACAGCCCCCTAATTCACTGCCCCACCTTAATGCCCCTCCAGTGGAAACCACACAGGAGAGCCTAACTGTTAAGGGGAGACCATTTTTGTGTCATGGGCTGGCAGGAGGAATGAATGTAAGCCTGTTAATTTTCCTTTTGATTTTTTTTTTTCAACTGAGTATGAACTTAAATGGGTTATAACAGGAATAATGACTCCATCTCCCATTAGCCATTTCACTTTTATCTGTTTTGCAAAATCCTGAAATGGCAATTGTTATGGCCTGGAATAGAGATTTTTCTTCACATGACAGAGGAACAACCTCCACCCCTCTCCTAATTAAATGAAACCACTATGGATTACAGCCATTTTTATATAGTATTTAGGTTTATATACAACTGAAACGGGAAAACATTTCCATTTCCAATCCTCTACACCACCATTTTCCCCAAAAGAACAGTTGGGAATTTTAGAGGCACTAAAGTAGTCCTGCGCCCATTTCCTATTTAATTCTGGTGCCCAATTCTCTCAGCCTACAACTCCTGTGTCAGCTTCTGTGTATGCAAGAAGTATTATCCAAGTGGAGAAGGCATGCTTCATCTCTTCTGCTGAGATATTAATTCAGTTCTTACACCTTTATGTAGCAGTGCCCCGATCAGCATCCTTGAAAATGCAAATAATAAACAACAGCAACGGTGAAAACTACTGTCTCAGGCATTTACTGAAAATTAAATCTATGTGGCAATCAGTCCAATGCTTTATAAACATTCCTTTTGAGTTATAGCAATGATTATTAAAGTTAAAAGCCGAACACCACATTAATTGGGAGCTCTCTATTCATTCACAGAGTGAGCGCCAAGCTGTCAGGCACACTGCATGTTTCATCCTGACCGGAGTGGGCTGTTTCATAATACATTGCATTGAACTGCTCCGTCTTAAAGTGAAAAATGATTCAGTTACCACAGTAACACAGCTCTGGGTTTTTTCCCCTAGCAGCGAAGGTTAACCGGGCTGTCTAATGCATGTTGGTTTCAAGGTGCAAATAAGGGAACAACACTGACGGAGCTAAGACCACACGAGTTCATTTTAGTTCCTGTAAGGCCACGGTCAGAAAAGCACTGGCATCCCATAGTTAAATGCTCTTTAGCTGTCTGTCTTCTCCGTCTTGTGCTTAATGCTAATGCTGATGGCTACCAATGCACATTGCACCCTGACTTTCCCATGAACTCTCTATACAGGCCTTTATTAGCCAACGGTGTAAAGGGAAACCTTAACAAGCTTTGTCTTGATCCTGCTCCCTTGGCGCCCGATTCTCAGAGATGCTGAGCTCTCACAGTTTTCACTAACTTTAAGCAGAGCTCCAAGTGCTTAGCACGGCCCATACTATGCTAAGCCCTCAAGAAAGATTACGTTTTCAGTAGCAAATTGCAAGCTATAGACTTACAGCTTATTTCAGCATATACTGGAGGCTGGATATTATGATTCTCTTCTCCAGAATGAAAAAGATGAGCAAGATTCGTTCACTGATGTATTGTGCCACAATGACACACACTTTCATTGATGCTCAATGATGAGAAAAATTACGTGCTGATTTCACAGATAGGGCCTTTTAAAAGCAGACGGATTTATTTCTTAAGCCTAAAGTCCTTCTTGGTTCTGAGCCATATGGACCGAATCAGATGAGCTTTGGGTGTATCACTGTGGGAGCTTGTTTTATGGTCGAAAACCACAGAGTATTTGGACACAGCTTTAAAAATACGGAGTCTTTTGTGCACTCTGACAGGTGCAAATCTGCGTGATGCCTCTTCTTAAGTGTCGTGGTCATCACTCTCAAAGACAAAGTCCTAGGCTTCAGTGACAGAAACATTTTCTCCCTGTGGCTTTCAGTGCTGCTTCCTGGGTGGACAGCAGTGGGAGAGGGAGGAAGAAGGGGTCTAATAGCTAAAGCCAGGGCGAGGTTACTAAGTCTTCATATTCCTCTGTATACAGTATCCAGAGCAGACAGGAGAAAAAATACAGAAGAGAACTAGACAGGGTATTTAACCTTAGTGGCATCTCTCAATCCACAGAAACAGGCTACAGCCAACCTGAAGTAAGACCTCCTGAAATGTGTAGTATGGATACCAGGTCCTTAGCAGCAATTGTTTCACTCTACAAGTCTGCTCCTATTGGACATCACTACTTGTCAATGTGAACATAGCATAAGGTGTGGAGAACATAGTCTAAAATAAGACATGAATAGGAGCAACCACATTGTTTTGGTTTCAAACCAGTGAGTTAGCAGTTCTCCTCAACCTCACCATGACTGGGTTGCCTTCCAAAGCAACATATTTCAATACAAGATGTTTAAATACCATAAACATGATAGAATATGATGGGTGTGTTAAACATTCTCACCCTGCTTTTTCTATAGACTGGCTTTAACAACTTTTACACTGATTATGAAGATCTTGAAAAAATTATCACCTTGATGTACTTTTAGATGATGACAAACTTACTAACTTATTTCTTAGAGTGATGCAATTATTCTCCCTGCTTTTGTCTCAGCCTTTGGAAGAATGTCTCGCACCTCACTTGCCATCTTTATCCCTGCCATAAGTTAGACAACTCTGTGATCCACAATTCCATGCATTTTCATGGTTCTTTGGCTGATTCTGGAGAAATGCACCCTAATAGATGGATGAAATTGTTTGTCTTTGCTTCTGGATGTGGCAGGGAACTAAAAGGATGATTCTGTTGGCTGTGAGAAAGGCACTTCCTGCTAGAATAGAACATTGCTTATTAAGGGTATGACTCATCATGATGCACTTTTATTGAAATACCGCCAAACAACACAGTCACATCAAACTATGTTAAGCTGTTGCCTTGGCAAACCAGATTGAGATGTGCTAGAATGAGTATTTTTCCCAAGCCTCATATGCTTCAATATCATGTTTCTTAGTCAAACAGCAACCGATAGTTTTTTACCTCATTATTTGCGAGAAAAGGGGTCCTTTCTCTAACAAGTTACCTGTGGTATGTGGTCAGTTTAGGGAAGAAAGAACCTCTCTGACTTCTGAATCATGGCTGGAAGTTTTTTAACCTAAACTGGCTGACTTTGCACTGAAGCAAATTAAGAATTGTCACCCGATCCCTTAAGGTGGATAACCTACTGCCTCTGGACTGAAGAAGCAGTTATGGGAGAGCTGATGTGTGTTAACTTCTTAAGTCTCTCCAGCTGTGCCAGAATGTCAAGTGAATAGATCACAGCCTTAACGTTCATGGCCTGACCTGCAGAACGTGTGACTGTTGTGACATATCCAGGGCCAACCCGTTTGCTGAAAATGTCCACGATCCC